GAAACTTGTAAATAATTGCTCACTGCTATTTAGCTGTAATAATCTGACCCCAAAACATAATGGAAACAACTCAAATACTCTAGTAGGTTAATAGGTAAATAAATAAACAAGGCTTGTTATATGTCCATCCTGGAATCATGTCTAACAATAAAAATGAATCAACTAGTGATATAAGGAACAAAACATATAGGTTTCAAATAAACTAGCTAATTTAAAATGGCCCATCTGTAAAGATTTTATATTATTGCATTCTATGTGTATAGTGTACTCAAAACAAAACATGTATGTGGAAAACATGAAAAAAATTATCAAATGCTATAGACTAGGGTTGGTTCTGCTGTAATGGTATAGCACAAGAACTTAAGTGATGATGAAAGATTTCCAAACTGATTGTGATGTTGTTTGAACAAATGTATGTATGTGATAAAATACACATACATGAATGCTTGCCAAAACTAATGAAATATAAATGAGTTTTGCAGTCTAGTTCACTGTATTATATCACTTTCAACTTCCTGCTTTTGATAATATACTATAGTTTCTTAAGATCTTATCATTGGGGAAAGTTTGTTGAAGTGTACACAAGGAATCTGTACTATTTTTTTCAATTTCTTGTAAAGTAAAAATATATTTCCAAATAAAAATGTTTTAAAAAAAATTTCTTGCTGAATCCCTTAAGGCTAATCTGGCTGGAAACTAATAAAAGAGGGTTTATCTCAGATATTTCCTATACAATGCATTTGGAGGAAATCTTTGCATCTCCACCCATGCTATTCATTGAAATGTGTGTGATACTAAATTAAGGAATGGTTTTGTGATTTGTTTTGGTTTTTTGTAAATATCACTCTCTAGCTGGTAAAGCTCAATTTCACAAACTTCAGAAGTTTCTCAGGAAAACCATCTGGTAATTTGAAAGCCATTGAAGTGAGTATTCCATTAGACCCAGCTCTTCTGTGGGAAGTTCTGGATGTTTTATCTTAAGTCAAGCCCAACCCTGGGTTCTCTGACCTGCCCACAGAAATGCCTCAGCATCCCTTCAGTCCAAATTTCAAACACATAAGCCATCCAGAAAAGGAGCACATGCAGACCTCTGGGAGGAAATGTAAATCAGTACAGTCACTTTTGAAAACAGAATTCAGCCAGACAGTGATGGTGCACGCCTTTAATCCCAGCACTCAGGAGGCAGAGGCATGTGGATCTCTGTGAGTTCGAGACCAGCCTAGTCTACAAGAGCTAATTCCAGGACAGCTTCCAAAGCCACAGAGAAACCCTGTCTCCAAAAACAAACAACAAAAAACCCAAAAACTAAAAGAACAGAACTCAGTTTCCTCAAAAAACTGCTGTCTTGAATATATATACTCAGATAACTGAGATCAGTATGTTGTAAAAAGATATCGACAGTGTTATGCTAATTCATGACTATTCACAAATAGTCAGGATAAGAAAGCAGGAAGTATATAAATAGATGAACAAATAAAATGTGGCATATATACACAAGGAAATATTGTATAACATTGAAAAGCATATTACATGCAACAAATGGATATAATTGAAAAACAATATGCTAAGTGAAGTACACCATGTTAAAAATGCAATATAAACTCACTTATATGCGAAATTTAAAACTTGATTTCATAGAAACAGAAAATAGAAAAACGGCTTCCAGAGACTGGGAGGGGAAGGATAGAGAAAAAGAAAATGGGAATTAAAATATGCAAAGTTAGCCAGGCATGGCTATGCACACCTTTGATCCAGCACTTAGAATACAGAGGCAGGCAGACCTCAGAGTTCAAGGCCAGCCTACTCTACAGAACAAGTTCCAAGACATTCTGGGCTACATAGAGAAACTCTGTCTTGAAATACAAAAAGAAAGTTATATAGTTAAACAAAAAGGAATGTTATGATAATGAACTTCATTGCGTGACAATCATAGTAAATAAAAATGTGTGTAACGAAATTTCTAGAAGAACACATCTTTAACATTTTACCACAGAAAGATAAGTCTGTGATCAAAATATCATACTTTAGCTCATAAACATACACTACTATTTGCTGATTAAAGAAAAGGTTTTGAGGAAAATAGATTATTGAAAAGATAAGGAAATTATCAAAGTTAAGTATTCCAGATATCTGTAATAAAGATGAAGATGCAAAATTTAAATTTCCAAACACAGAAAAGAAATTTTTATTTCAGGATTGGCAGTGTTCACTTTCATAGTTCTGGATCTTAACTACACTCTTAGCTAACAAGTAGGCAGGATGCACAAAGTCAAGAAACTTCTCGTTACACTACACTAAAATCTCTCTCCTTTTGACTCCCTTACCCCTTTCAGTTACTTAGTACATTCCCAAGTGTTGGCCTTCCTGGTTTGTGAAAATCTACCAGTTGACCTAAAGATCTAGCCTAAAAACTTATTAGCTGATTTTTCACCAGCTTAATCTTTCACAATCATTAGAATCACTTGTGTTTCAAGAAAGGAGAACTTGGAGAGACCATAAATAAGCCCTGGATTAGATTATTCATAGTAACATTTCTGGTTAGAGGCAGACAGAAACACTTGCTGGACAAAAAGAATCATCCAGTCAGAGTGTTGTTTCGTTTTCGTTCCCAGCTTCAGAATCATGTACCTAGGCAGTTGCCAATTTGTAAGTTTAATTATAATGGTATATTATAATTTTATACCACTAGAACTTTCAGACAAGTATTATTTTTCCAATCTTGAGCAATAAGTTTGACCAAGTGGAAAATGTCTCATGCCCTAGTGAATAATTTCTTTCTCAGCCTTCTAGGACACACACATTCACAGCTGCAAAAATTAACACATCAGCACAGAGTCAGCCAACAGAAACCTCTCCCTTCCCCTAGGGCTCCACAATTCAGCAAGTGTCTAGTCCCTACTAAGCTCCAACTTCATGTTAAACTCTGCTGCTAGGGACACAGAGATGATTAATTTCCTTCTTCCCTCATCTAGTCTCAGAAGTTGGCTGAATAACCGATCTTTCTTCCTATTAAACTTCCTGGGTGGGGTGGGGTGAAGGGGAAACTGACTGGTAGGAAAAAGTCCACCCAGAATGTTTTAAGTCTACTGAGGATATCTTTTGTCATAACCCCACCAGAACTGTTTCTAAGGAGGGTCTGTCCAGGGAGTTCTGCTGATTTCAGCCCTTCTGGAGGTTCCCAGAGCAGTGCAGCTGCTTAGCCTGCCTGGATTTCATATACTGGCTGGAGAATCAATCATTTTGGAACAACTTTGCTATAGGAAAAAAGCCACACCCATACTTGTGGTTAGAGAGATTAGGCAGAGCTCTCTCAATAGCAGACAGTATGGTGCCACTTGGCAACCATAATCTACACATAGTGCCATCCTGTGAGTCATGCTCATGTAGTCTACAGCTGTTAGTTTCATTTTGTTACTGGAAAAAAACTAGTAGCATAATAGAGCATTTATCCTAAATTTTTACAGAAAAAATAATTAATATAGGGATTTTTTTCTGAGAAGAGGAAATTTACTGTTATAAACACTTCATTCTTGGGAAATTAAATATAAACAAAATACAATGATTTGTTCCCTTCAGGAGAAGGAAGGTGTTGGTGTAAATAGGATTCATTTATATTTTCCTAATAAACAGGTTTTACTCATATTTTACTACAGCTTACAGTCTTATCTAGAGTCATATGTAATTTTACATACTGTAAATTCTTTTACATATGGATGAATCAAATTCCAAGTGTGAAATTAGCAGACTTTAAAAAGAACACGCTTAAAAAAAAAACCACAGAAGGAATTCCTCCTAAAAAAGACAGCAAAATGTTTGGAACGCCTTCTGAAAATGCTTCCCATGTTCTCAAATTAAAAATACATCCAAAGAAATGCTCACCGTAAGCTGAGAATCAGCCCCATTGAGACTCGACAGCTGTGCTAGTTTCTAGGGCTTGATGAAAATCCTTTTGTGCTATTTGAAGCCATCACATCCCACCGGAAAATGCATGCATGGAAAATGTCCCAATCCGAGAAAACATGTCAAGTCTCATCTTATGAAAAGATTAAGGCACTTAGATGCATTTACTATTTGAATTCTGCTTTAATTTGGTTGACACAAAGCATGAGTTTAAAATTGTAAGTTTATTTTCTCCCCTTGGCTCACACTAACAAAAATGCATTTAATGAACCACAATCTCAATTTTAACATAGAATTGTTAGGAGCAATGTTTAACACAAGTCTGGACCCCTGGTTTTTGTCAGTGGCATGTTAAATTGTAGAGAAAGGAGCTTTCTATCTAGACAGCCACATTTCCTCTCAGAAAGCATGCAGCAGTTTCAGCGAACATTTTAACCACTTAAACTTATAAATAGATATTACCTCACTGAAGTCTCCATTCTTCATAACAATATATCCCCCCAAAGGTAAGATATTAGCAGTCAGAATTAAGTTTTCAGTGGAAGCAGCAGAAATTCACAGTCGTTTTCAATTCACAGAGGCTTTTTAGTTCTATTTTTGAATGTATGAAGAGAAAGCCAAGAACCTTACCCTTTCTACCCAGATATCCTGTAGTGAACTGCAGGCTTGTACAGCTAGAAGAGGAAGTAACGTAGTTTATTCAGCAAAACAGGAAAAAAAACAAAATCGTTTACCTCTAATGGGAGGTAGAACTGTTCGTCGGCATAACTCAGTTGTTTGGGGAAGCATTCGCCTCAGAGAATATTGTGGGCAAAGTAAATTCAAATTTTGGCTTTGATAAATTCAGAGTTTCCATGATTTGTACACTTCTTCAATCAGGAACAGCGTATCTGACTTTAATTTGCCACGTATTACCATAGTTTCCTCAGTCTATTCTGAACATTTAAAGTGTGTGCTATGCAAAAATCCATCTTAACTGATAGAATTTTATTCACCAATTGCTATGTAATTAACGTCTTAATCATTTTTTTACAGACAGCAGTAAGTATCAACTTAAATATTGATTCCCCACTCTCTTTCCATTGTATTTTATTCCTTACCATAGCTTCTTTCTGCAGCAATCTTCTGGCATCTACTTCTTAGGGAAATCCATTTCCGGTACTCGGAAGACTACTAGGTAGCTAGATACTCCACAGTCTGCTACAACTATAGAAGATACTATGCTTCTAGATATCATTACATCCCATGACTACAATGGCTAATGTTTCCATCTAAAGACATAAAAGGTCATGTGTCTTTGCTATGGAACTTTGACAGAGAATGTGTCAAGAATGCTCTGAGCTTCCTGCTTTGCACACGCCCATCTTATTCTATCATCATCTTTCTCCTTCCTTTTTTTCTTTTTTCTATGTGTATGCATGTATATGTCTTAGTCACATATGATTTTCAGGCTGACAATACGAGGTCAATATTTCCAAATTATATTGTAGCTATGTTTTGCCATGTTGTCTGTTTTAGAAGTTAAAGAATGGCAATAATATGATCATCTTTGCGAGTTTTATTGGGTCACCCAAATGGAATGATTTGAGATCACAAAAAGACTGTGCTCAGTAAGGTCATCCCAAATTATGAATAAATGTGTGATTTGTGATCTTCTTCGGGGTTAAGAATTGCATCTTCATACACTTATCTTTAATAATACTAACTTTAGTTTATTAAGTTCTTAAAATCATATTATAAAGACATTGTTAGAGTACCTTTAAGCATGACTGGGAAAAGTCTAAAACAATCATAATGTCTCAGAATGGAATAAGGATCTCAAATATAAACTTGGAGGATTTCATAATCTAAGTCTTGGCCCCACTGAGAGGGTTGACTGGTAGTCGTGTACAGACTTTCATCAAAAAACATTAAGTGAATCAAAAGGAAAACTTTGATAGTGGAAGTCCTCCCCAGTGATCTTAATATTACTATTTTACAGTTTCGGTATCTAAAATGCTTATGGGTAATTGGAAACTTCTTTTATTCTGAACCTTTTCTTTTTGCATATAGTAGCTTTTTATCTTCTTATATTGTAGCAGGAAAAAAACAAATGAGCATGATATTACTATGAGGTGTGTAGCCTCAAGAAAACAAAGAAAAGAAGAAATTACCAGGAAAAGCAATCCTAGCAAAGCCATAATTAGTACATGGGTGTTGTAGATTCTTTCCCATTGCTGTGATAAAATGCCCCAACAAAAGCTACTTAAGGGTAGAAGGCTTTCTTTTGTTTTATCCTTGCTCACAGTTTATTGCGCAATGCTTTATGGCAAGGAAGAGAAGTCAGAAGCAACTGATTATATTTTATTCATAATCAGCAAACAGAGAGCAATGAATGTGTGCCTGCTCTATATCTCTTCATCACCCAAAGCAAATTAGACTATTATACATGGCTATTTTTTATTTAAATTAGAAACAAGCTTGCTTCACATGTCAATTCCAGCTCCCTCACCCTCCCCTCTTCCACTGCCCTCTAACACCCTAGGCGCCCCAGTCCTTCCAACCCCCAACCAGTGCTCACTCCTCTTCCCAAGATGGGTGAGGAACTCCATGGGGGAATCTTTATAGTCTGTCATATCATCCAGGGCAGGGCCTAGTCCCTCCCCCATGTGTCCAGGCTGAGAGAGTATCCCTTGATGTGGAATGGGCTCCCAAAGTCCATTTGTATGCCAGGGATAAATACTGATCCACTATTCAAGGCCCCATATATTTCCAAGGCATCCTCACTGACACCCAAATTTAGAGGGTCTGGATCAGTCCCATGCTGGTTTCTCAGGTGTCAGTCTGGGGTCCATGAGCTCCCCCTTGTTCAGGTCAGCAGTTCTTGTTGGTTTCACCGGCCCGGTCTTGACCCCTTTGCTCATCACTCCTCCCTCTCTGCAACTGAGTTCCAGGAATTAGGTTCAGTGTTTAACTGTGGGTGTCTGCCTCTACTTCCATCAGCCACTGAATGAAGACTCAATGATGGCATACAAGGTTGTAGTCAATCTCATTATCCAGGGAGGGCATTTAAGGTCGTCTCTCCAATATTACATAGTTTGCCAGTTGGTGTCATTCTTGTAGATCTCTGGAAATCTCCCTAGTTTCAGATCTCTCCTCAAACCTATAATGACTCCCTCTATTATGGTATTTCTCATTCTGCTCTCTATTCTTCCCTTAACTCAACCTTCCTGCTCCCCCATGTCCTCCACTCCTCTCCCTTCATCTTCTGCCCCTCTCTTTTTCCCAGCACCCTATTCCCTCCACCCATACTTCCAATACACTCAGGAGATTCTGTCCCATTCCCCTTCTCTGGGGTACCATGTATATCTCTCTTAGGATCCTCCCTGTTTCCCAGACTCTCTGGCATTGGGATTGTAGACTGGCACTCCCCTGTTTCATGGCTAAAATCTATATATGAGTGAGTAGATACCATATTTGTCTTTTTGTGAATGTGTTACCTTACTCAGGATGATTTAATCTAGTGTCATCCATTTGCCTGCAAATTTCAAGATTCCATTTTGTTTTTTCTGCTGAGTAGTACTCCATTGTGTAAATGTACCACATTTTCTCTATCCACTCTTCAGTTGAGGGGCATCTAGACTGCTTCCAGGTTCTGGCTATTACAAATAATGATGCTATGAACATAGTAGAACAGACTTCCTAGTTGTATGAATGTGCATCTTTTGGGTATATGCCTAAGAGTGGAATTGTTGGATCTTGTGGTAGACTGATTCCCATTTTTCTGAGGAATCCTCATACTGATTTCCAAAGTGCCTCTACGAGTTGGTACTCCCACCAGCAGTGGAGGAGTGTTCCTCTTTCTCCACATCCTCTCCAGCATAAACTGTCATTGGTGTTTTTTATTTTAGCCAATCTGACAGGAGTAAGATGGTATCTCAGAGTTGTTTTGATTTGCATTTCCCTAATAGCTAAGGATGTTGAGCAATTTCTTAAATGTCTATCAGTCATTTTAGACTCCTCTATTGAGAATTCTCTACTTAGTTCTGTACCCCACTTTTTAATAGGATTATTTGGTGTTTTGGAAACTAGCTTCTTGAGTTCTTATTATTATCTATCTTTTCCTCTTCCCTCTACCACTGTATTATCCATCACTTCTTCCCATTTAAGGTTTTTCCATTTTTTCTAGTTATTACTTCATAGCACCTATTCCATCCTCTCTAGAAGTCCTCTCCCCACTCCATCATGGTGCTTTTATACTTTCCTGCTTTGTGAGGTTACTCAAAGTAATATATTCACACTTAAAAAATTGGAGCTAGGATCCATAAATATGAGAGGCCATGTGATGTCTTTTGAGCCCGGTTACCTCAATCAGTAAAATTGTTCCTTTTTTAATTCATTTACCTACAAACTTTATGATTGCAATTTTCTTTACAGCTAAGTAGAATTTCATTATGCAAGAAGAAGGGACACCCTTATTGGTGGGATTGCTGCAGCCAGATAGCAAATGAAAACAACCTAAATGTCCTTCAAACTTATGAATAGTCTATATAAATGTTATTAGACTATATTAATTACACCTACTGATAGATTTCATAAATGTATTTTCATATAAGCATGTCATGTATATTAGCCATATCTTTACCACCATCTTCCCCCCAATCTACTATTCATTTTTTTCTCCTGGTCTTTGTTCCACTTGCACGTAACATATCTACATCTATGTATCTCTATATGTACATATATGTGTATGTATATCTGCCTATAGAAAATCTGAGATCCAAGGAGGAAATTAGGAAAATAATTCCATTAATGGTATCTTAAAAATACATAAAACAACTCAGAGTAGGCTGAACTGTGAAAATATGAAATATCAACAATGAAAAAATTGTATTAGCTCTTTGCAAAATCAATGTATTTTGATTATATTCACCCTCCCTCAACTCCAGACTGATTCTCTTCCATATCTACTCAACTTTGTTTACTATTTTTATTTGTTTAATTTTTATTTAAATTAGAAACAAGCATGTTTTACATGTCAATCCCATTTCTCTCTCCTTCCCCTCCTCCCTTGCCCCCCACCAACCTCCTATCCCATCTACCTTTTGTCCCTCAGGGAGGGTGAGGCCTTCCATGGGGGGTCTCCAAAGTCTGTCATATCATTTGGAGCAGGGCCTAGACCCTCCCCCATGTGTCTATGCTGAGAGAGTATCCCTCTATGTGAAGTGGGCTCCCAAAGTTCATTCGTGTACTAGGGATAAATACTGGTCCACTACCAGAGGCCCCATAGATTAACCAGACATCCAAACTAACATCTTTGTTCAGCTGGTCTGGAACAGTCCTATGCTGGTTTCCCAGATATCAGTCTGGGGTCAGTGATCTCCCCCTTGTTCAGGTCAGCTGTTTCTGTGGGTTTCTCCAGAAATCCACAAAGTCCAATTTGTGCTCTTCATATATTCTTAAATGTGTGGTCCTCCATTGGTGCATAGTCTATTTACCAAGAGATACACTTTTTTTGGAGACGGGATCACATTATATGGCTTTGAACTCACTATGTAGATCAAGCTGGCCTTGAACTTATATATTATGATTCTGCCTTTCTAGTGCTGACATCAAAGGTGTGTGCCACCACACCTAGCTAGGATATACACTCTTAAAGACAATTGTCTCACCCTTTCTTGGTAACTATAATAGCGCCTCAGCTAAGGAAGAGACTTCATGCCCACTATCCCTCTCTGTACTGGGAATTTATAGGACTTAAATTTGCATAAGTCTTGTGTGTGCTGTCACAGTTTATGTTCACATGTAGATCTGCCCTAATTGTCCACAAAATACTATTGCCCTTTAGCCATCTATTATCTCTGGGCATTACAGCCGTCCTGTCCCCTCTTCAACAATGCTCCGTGAGCCTTTGGAGGAAAGGATATGATAGAGATGTTCCATTTAAGGCTGAACATTCCACAGTCTCTTATTCTATTCACTTTGACCCGTTGTGGGTCTCTGGGTTTCTGCCATGTACTGCAAAGAGAACTGCCTCTAATGAAGACTAAATGATATAACAATAAATCATTAAGAGTCTGTTTAGTATTGCGTTTATTAAGTGGAATAATACTAGGGGTTTTCCCCTAAGGTTTGTAATATGTCTAGTCATAGTTTTCTGGCTACAATACACTTGCAAGATATTGGCTTTATGCTGTAAAATACGTCTTAAATACAACCAGAACCTGTTTGGTTATTCCCATTATGTTTATGGCACTATGGTAGCAGTAGGCATGTCTTGTCAGGCCAAT